TTGAAATATGAAAAATAACACATACCTAATAATAAAGAAAATAAACATATTATTAATTGATAAAAAACAATGAGATCGTCTTGTACCTTGGCCTAGGTGCCTAAAGTTAAGCGGTAGGGATACAAAATTTTCTGTTATTTTTTTCTTTGTCAACTTTCTTATGTGTTTGCTTTTTTTTTAAATAACAGATTTCCTTTTATTTAGTTTTGATTCCTTTTTTATTGAATTATTTTCAAGGTGACAAATTTAACTAATGAAATTACTCCAGAGGGGTAATTTAATTAGGTAGAGTTGCTAGCCACTTCTCCTGTTTAAACAAATCATAGCCTATAAAAAACTGCCTACTATGTCTGATTCACACGCTGAGGATTCCGTACAGTACGTTAGTTACAAATAGTTTTGGATACGAATAAAACATGTTTTGAAATATGCACATCAATCACAATCAAGTGATGCTTGAACTAGTATCAGTTTAAATTTCGACTCTCTAAAAGCTTGCATTTTATAAAGATTTAATTACGAATGTATCTAACCTACGGTAAGCTAAATGTTTAGTTTAATTATGGTTTAAAATAAACCAATTACAACTGTATTTTTTTTTTATTTTCTTTCATGTTAATATTCTATTTTAGTTTTAATTGAATTTAACAAATATCTTTTTTTGTAGGTAGAAGGTGAAAACCCCAAAATGTTGTTATGAAATATGCATACGTAGTATAGATCAACATTATTTTTAAAATTGAATAGTCAATTAATAAGTCAAATTGGAAAATGTTATATTTTGATTCATGAAAAATTCATATGTAAAGTTTTAATAATTTTCTCGATTAGTTTCAAACGACACTGAATTAAATATTGCAAATTTTCAGTCTAATTTCTTAATCTTACGTTCAACAAATACAAATACAATTATTGTTATTATCATTATTAGTATGTCTATCATAAGACAAGCAGAGCGCCTACTCTGTGTTATCGAACGAAATTTCAGAAAATTTGTAATAGTTTTTATAATAACCTCCGTTGTTTTTGATTTGTAAAGAGTTGAATTTACTTTATTCTGAAAAATAACGGACACGGATGTTGTGTTGGCATAATAAAAATGCTGATTTGAATTGTCCTACTGTAAGGTAGTTGCTAGTTTTATGGGGCAGTGTTGTCCGAGACGCGGCGACTTGAAGACGTGTAGCCGGAGTAGTGAGAAATTGTGATTAAATCTAGAAGTTTTATTACAGTTTTATCACAAATTATAATTTATGATACCACGAAGGTATGAACAAGTAAAAATGCGTTTCTTTGTTGTCATACCGTTCCAAAACCAGACAAAATTTAGTTTTCGAAGAAACAGAGGAGGCCTTCAGGTCTCTAAATACATATTCATAAGATAAAAGACGGTTTAAAAATTTTGGCGATGGCCAGAATGGTTTGGATTATAAGGCTAATTACATATTATCAAATAATACAGTGGTTCCTAAATTCTTTATTACTGTTGTAACTGCGTGTTCATACTCTTTCTAGGTCCTTTACATTTAACTTTTTTATGCAACTAGTAAGCTATTAAATTACTGTTATAAATACTATATTTCTGTGAAGAAATTTTTATAAACCCTATTTGTAACCCTCACAGAATAGATAACCCTTAGGTTAGGAGCCACTAAATTAAAAGATACTTAACCAGTTGCATATACGTCCGTTAAAATTGTCATTAGTTAAAAGCGACATTACATTAATAAACTATTAAAATTTAAAACATCCATTAGAGCTTAATGGACGGTAGTGAAACTGACCGATAATTGATTAATTAAGTTGCTGCAAGTATTAAGTAAGCTTTTAGTTTTCGTCGATACATAATTATACCTATCTGAGATCTGAACACATTCGCCTTGAACTTTTAAACCGATAGTTGAGGTTTACGTCACAAACTTGTTCACTTATAAACTTCACGTGTATTCACAATTGGCTTTTACATAAAGTATCTGAAGAGCGTTAATGTCAATTCTAAATAGTTATTTACATTAATTACACGTTTAAAATTACTAACAATCGTTTTGAAATGACGAATAATGCTCTTTATGTATTATTATAAAAGGTAATTGATTTCATCACACACACCGATTGGGTTTGAGATAATCTTAAAGTGAAAATTATTTTAATGCTTTAGTAGTGAACCATTAACAGGACAAATTTGTTACTGGTGCATTATTTCCATATGTTGGAAATTATATTCTTTTATCTTTTTATTATTATAAAGAAATAATAATAAAGTATTTAATGTACAAGAAAAAAATCTTAACTTTAAAAGGATGTAACTTTGAAGTCTTCACAAAAAAATTATAAAGTTATATTAGGTCGGCTACGAAAATAATATGTACTTCTAAGAAAAACCTTTTTTTCTTTTTGAAGTAGGTTCACAAGATTATTTAATTGAACTTCTATGTTATGACAGCGATGAGCTCGACTGTTTTTATAACGAAATAGATAAAGCCTTTGAAAAGTTTGAATGAATATATTGCACCTTATATTGTACACGGCTTGTCATAAGCTCTTGAGAAAATAATATCTAAAGTCAGTCACAATACAAAAGCCAACTAAAGCTTACACTAATCACTTATCGCTTACAATAATCCTATATTTATTTTAAAGCAAGTTCAGGGTCACTTTGATCTGTAGAAGACATGTTAGTGACACTTCACTTCTCAGAGCTAGGAAAGCTTGGTCATTTACATGGATACTAAATTGCGCACTATTATAATTAAGTATAATATATCTCTTTCTATCTATGTGGATAGGATAGGAAATGAATAGGTAAATGTTAATAGAATTAGGAATGTCTTTTTTTGTAAGTATGAAAAGCTTTGATGTTATTCGTAATGCAAACGACGAAATCTAACGTACTTAAAGATTGAACTGTATCGTATTTAACAAGAACAAAACTATAGAAGGTATTCTACTTATAAATGTTTCATACAGCAGTAAAAGGGATTTTCTGCCTTCAAATACAGAAAGACATGTAGGTATTTTATTTTTTATTGTATCTAACGATATAAATATGTATTGTAATTATTTTTTATTGTTGCGCTGCTATATTTGAAGTAAATTTCTATTGCTTATTATATCTTAGTTGTTAAGGCAGAAATTGCGGTGTTGTTATCGGCAAATACAGTAGGAAGTCTTCTTAAAGTAAATTTTATCTTAAATATATATTACAGAATTATTTCTAAATTATTACAGAATCGATTATTAGTTGCTTCATAATAAGTGTTCAGCAATTCTGTAATAAAATAAGCCTCGTTTTCGATGTCGAACTTAACCCTTTTTCACATAGGGAAATGACTTATGCACTGTCAAATCCGCACGAACTCGTCAGAAGGCTAGTCAAAATGCGGATGGCATACCCAACAAACGCCCCCCGTGCACACTCTTCTGGGGGAAGGGCCTGGGATTCAGCAGGAGCGCTCCACACCCAGCGCCCAACGTCGAGCTTAACCGTAGACGGCCTATCTATCTGAGAGTTACAAAAAGCCTAGTCTTATGTTTCAGAGGCGTATATAGGTAATAACATATGTTTGAATTTTTAAAAGATATGTAAGATTAGTAATATAATATATAATATAATAGTTTTACAAATGTAATATCAATCTAAATATTACAATATAAAATGATAAGTACAACTATTTTTAAATAAAAGAAAAAAACTATTTCGTAAAAATTCAAAAAATAGTTTGTATTTATTTTTTAAAACTTATTTAATCCACTCGATGATTATGAGTAAGAGTAATCGAAGTTTTAATGACAAATTATCATTTAATATTATTGCATATCATACGTCTCGTAGTTCAAAAATCAAAAATGACTAGAAATATTTTACCAACGATCGAAGTACTAATACTATCGGCAAGTTTTCGTCGAGCTCGAGTTAGTTAAAAAACACGATGCGCTAAATTCGCCCGTTAGAAAAACAGAGCGAATATTCGATTTCGTGTACGCCTCGCAGACGTAGATTAGACTTCTAGGGTTAACCTATTTCAAAAGATAAAAATGACCTATTCCTATATCTATGCTGTGCCAGCGCTCTGCTGTATGTCGAGTACGAGGTAGATTTTATTACAGAATAGCTTATCAGAACAAAGTATAACATAAAGTATATAAGTATAGAATATAAAGATAAAAATTTTTATTTTCAAAATTTTGATGGGAGTCCTTAATGAAGAGGTTAGTTAGCGGATACTGCCATATATGGATTTCACCATAAGTTCTTAACATTACAGTAATACCCCGCTTTACGCGACTCCGTTATGCGCGGTTTCACTATAACGCGAAATTCAAAGCTGCGAAAGATCGACTACAGTTCTGCTGGATGGTAATGCCACTGGTAATTTCAAACTGAAATCTTTACTAGTATACCATTCAGAAACATCCCGTGCAATGCGTGGCACAGACAAGACAAATCTACTAGTTGTGGTGCGATCAAACAGAAAGGCGTGGGTTACACGGGAAATTTTTCAAGAATGTCCCGTGTTTGCCGTGAATGGTTTGGACCTTTGGACATATTGCAGAGTAAAGACAATAATAATGACCGTGTGTCAATGACATTGACAATTAAAAACTGGATGTTATGATCGTATTTTACAAGAACATAAAAACCGCTACCCAAAAGACAATACATGTATTTTTCCGTAAAAAATAATTAATAGTATTGCATTAAGTTTTCTTAGAATTAAAGTGATTGATCAAAATGATTCATATTTTATTAAATTTTGACTATGTTTAATCATAAACCTCGATATACGGGAATTTCAATTAATGCGTTTTTTTTTCGGAATGTATCCCTCGCGTAAAGCGGGCCATTACTGTATACAGTTGCAATGACAGAAGCGGGATAGCGTTATACATAATTTTTAGGGTCATGTATAGGGTCTTACTTTAGTAATATTTCTATTGCAACTCACAAATTGCTTTTTCGGTTCATTTATACATAGAAGACTTACGGTACACCACATCGTTTAGTTAATTTTCCTGTGCGTGGGACTACTGCTGATAACTTGCAGCTGATGCATTGGAAGATCTTGAACTATCAGCGCGTGGAACGCCATATTGGCCGTGGCGAGTATGTACTCACAAACTGAGAACCAGGTGAATGCTGTAACATTGACATATACGAAATTGTTTATACGTTCCTCATACTATTATACCAATACTAACAAGTTTTTTGTTCAATTTATAAGCCTTAGAGTCAAGGAAATGGCCGACTAGATGACGAGCCAAACAAAGTTTAAAAGGACACTATCTACTTTTTCTTGAATCGCTTCGTCGTTATACGAACTCATATGATTTGGGCTTAATTGAATCAAATGAACAAAATTTTCAAAATACGATGGCAATAATGGTCTTATTTAAATTGATATCGGTTTCGTCACTGATGCTTTCACTCTTTGACAAATATCAAAATTCATAGAGTACCTACTTCCTGAAGTCGTAGAAAGCTAAAATTTGTTATGTAAGCTAGTATTAGTCCACAGACAACAGAAAAATTCTTAAACTTTTATCTTCCCCTTAAACTAGGGGCAACTCTAGCAAAAGTTGATTTTTGCAGGAAACGAATGGGCAAAAAATAGACTTTTCCGTTCCTTTTAACTTATGTATTAAAAAACTAAAATTTACAAAATTCGAAACTAATACGAAAAAGTACAAATAGAATATGAGTTGTTTATTAAGTTTTGAAAACAAATTTACTTGTAAACATGGAGAAAACGGCAGGGTTATCATGTAGAAATCAAGAACGTAACGTAGCGACATCTAGTTTGATTTCGGGAACTTATTTCTTTTTAAATACTTCCTTAAAGGAATATATAAGTTTTAAGAAAATAAATAAGTACCGGTAATATTACTCGCACTGTCAAAAACTTTATGATTTTATGTAGAGCCAAGCTTCTCACTCTACATACTAAGATAATAAGATTCCGTAGCAAAAGAGCAAAATAAAACGGGAAATAATTTTTAAAATCAGTACACTAGTTTCGGTGCCTATTCATTGCAAACAAACAAACAATCAAATCATTCCTCCTTATAATATTAGAATAAATAAGTATTGAGCAGTACAGTACTATAGAAGTAACCTTACGCCTGTGACGGTTGCAAAACAATTTCTATTTCAGGAAACAAACAAAACAATAGTTCACAAAAAGCTCTTTATGCCTATTCCTTGATTCAGTGAAATAATTAATCGATTAAAGAATGTAGTCATTTATATTTACCTAGAGGGTGGCAAAGTAAACGGTGCTTCAGGAAGAATATAATGAGCCCTATAGTGGCAGCTATGGCGATGAAGAATAGAGTCCATACAGACTTGTTGGTCCGCACAGGTTCTACTGCATCGTTGCCTATGGAGCCAACTTTCGCCCGACACAGCATATGTAGCAATGCTACTATCATGAACACTATGAATATCTTCTCGTGAACAACTGAAAGTAACGACATAAAAATCTGTTTCATATATAAAAATGTTAATCTCATTGATAATCGAATTTTGACTTGCAATATTGGCTTTCACCATTCCGCTGGTGTAAGATTCCACTAAAGTTAAACTTAAGAATATATATAAATATATATAACTCAAAGGTGACTGACTGACATAGTGATCTATCAACGCACAGCCCAAACCACTGGACGGATCGGGCTGAAATTTGTCATGCAGGTAGATTTTATGACGTAGGCATCCCCTAAGAAAGGATTTTAATAAATTCCACCCCTAAGGGGATAAAATCGGGGATGAAAGATTGTATAAATCTTCTTAGAACTGAAATAAAAGATTGGAGCTACTATGATGATGACGTCCGCTTAAATAGGATTTTGATAAATTCATCCCCCATGGGGATAAAATAAGGGATGATGGAATGAAATGTATTAGTTTGAATCTATTAGTACCTAATGGAACGAATAAATAAATATTCATTAGAAATGCTGCTCAAAGTAACTTTACCACGCGGACGAAGTCGCGGACAAAAGCTAGTGTATATATATATATATATATATATATATATGAACTATTGGGACGAAAGGCTCATTAGTTTAGAGGTTATAATAACGAAGGTCTATTTCAGGGTAAAATTGATGAACTACTTTCCTGTCTTTAAGACTAGCTTTTGCCCGAAATTTCGTCTAGTGTTTTAGAGTAACTAGTAGCTAGACTAGTAGTAGTCAGTGTCGATAACTAGTATTAAGTAGTAGTACTTACAATAGTTTTCCCTATTTGAGACATAAGTTACCCCGGTGAGTGCAAGCAACTCTATTAAATTGAGCCAGTAGCAGGCATCTCCTAGTTTAGTAGCTAGATCTCTAACCTGGAACGAAAAAAATAAACATTTAATATTAATGTTACATATGCACCTATGTGATGTTAGGTTTATTACATCAGGTATGTTATTCTATAAAAACAGCTTCGATACTCGAAGTCGGGCACAGCGTTGTCAGCACAGCATAGAGCTTCAATAAAATAAAACGTTTATTATCTTTTCGAGTTGCTCTGTGGTGTATAGGATAAGCGGTGCGGTCCGCGATCGTTGTTGTTAAGAAAATTTTGCAAGGGTCGGTCACTGAAAGGGTGATCAAAAAAATATTATCTCGAGCTACGTCGTGCTTCGAAAGGTACGTTAAGCCGTCGGTCCCGGCTGCATTTACAGTGGTTTATAGCCTCCAAACCGCATTAGGCCAGCGTGGAGGGTCATATCATATCCTCTTTAACCAACCATAAAAAAATCCTTGCAGTTGGGACGTAAAAGGCCTGATGATGATGCTGATTATCTTTTCGCGTAGGTTTTATTTCATTGAAGCATCATGTTGTGTGACATCACCACGCTCGTCGAGTCGAGTTTTCTTAAATCATTTTTCAGGTGATTTTGAGAACATTTAAATTCTTCCACTTGTGGGAAGCTACTTCATACGCAAGAGTCATCTATTGTCGTAGTAGACGAGATTTTAATGAACTAAGAACTATTAATAATATTCTAATTATTAACAGTTCTTACTTCATTCAAATTCTTATTTTATATGGTAAAAATATCTGCTTAAGTTAAGATGTATTCTCAAGTGGTTACCTACTGGGGGCCATTTCTACTAAATAAATTTTGTTTAAATCGAATCGAAAACGGATCGAAACCGAACGAAACTACAGTTGTTAATGGTTTTCCTATTCTTCAAAGTGACATACGATACGGTTCCAGTTCTATTTTAGCTTGATTTAAACAAAATTCATTTAGTAGAATTGGCCCCCAGCTCTCGACGAGATATGAGTGATATAAATATGTATAATAAATTATTAATAATCATAATATCATTAAAGCGGATGAAGTCACGGGAAAACAGATAATCTAGTCGTAGTAGTAGCCGAAATCGAGATGTTTTGTACAATATTAACAAAAAAAAATTGTTTTAGGAGTATAAAAATATAGGACTCTTAAAGTACCAGTAGAATTCTTAGTGGTAATGTCAATTATATGAAGACTTTACATATACAACAGTGAAGGAAAAACAAGAGACAATTTACCTTTTCATCGATAATATGCCGAGTTCGCTCCATATGGTAGTTGTAGTAAAGGGAGCCTATCAACAATCTTGGTCCTAGATGGAAAGCCACACATATCCTCCACACGTACCTCTGCGGGCTGATACCCGTAATAGCACTTATCGACGGAACCACATTGTAAACCTGTAATAAGAATTACGCATACGGTTACAAATCACAATATTCAATTTTGTCTAGTGAAAATGAGGTTTTATTGTTCTGGATCGAAGAATCCGATGATAAAACCAAGAACTATGCTGATGAAAAAGTTAACTAAACGTTTATCATTATCAACAATACAAAGTAACGCAAAACAGAAATATTGTACCTAAATATTTTTATTTGGTATCTAACATACATTCATTTTGTTTCGTTATTTGACTCGGGAAGTATTAACGGATGCAACTTTGATTAAATTTATTGTAAAGACATGAAAATATGGTTTTATTACAATTTGGTAGCATTGTATATTTATTGTAATAGATGGTGATTTTTGTAATATATTTTGTTTATTTTATTGAAATATAATTCAAAATATTACAGTTGCATAAGTTCTTACGTAAGATTCTATCACGTAATGATGTTCTTACCCTACAATGCGTTTCATGTATGTCATCTGCTTGAAATATAGAAGCTGTCACGTAACAAAATATTAAAGCACCTAATGGAAGCCAAAGAGCAGCTAAACAGATTTCCTTGAGACCACATGTCCATAGTATTCCCTAAAAATAAGAATGCATATTAAAACTTGAGCAATTTCTTATGAGAATTGTAAATTAACAATAACCACCTTAAACTCCAATAGTTTCACTGTCCTATTTACACTGCACGTAACATTTGTGCGACTGTCTACGTCATCATCACGTACAACCAACTTTGGTGACGACAATACTTGTGCGTCATTTACCATTTTCCCCTTGCACTGCCACTTTCGTTAATCACATAATTCCCACTATATTCCTCTTCACCTGTACTTCACAATATCGACTAGGCATATGAATAACCAAAAAGAACACGCGTCCATGTGGTGTTATTAGCTCCGTTCACCTTACAGTAGTAACAGTTGTAGTACTGAAAATAATCTTCAAAATTCATAAATTCCTTTGTGCTTTTTACCACTACTGATTCTATAATAATAGATTTATAACATTTAATTGTGTGTGGATGACCTGAGGCGTGGATTGAATGAGGTTATTTGGACTTGCGCATTGAGAACTTATTGAGGGGTAGCGTGAACCCCTTCTTAGATATTGCGTAGTCCATGATTCAACTGCATTCAGTTACATAAAAACTAAGCTAAGAAACGCTTGTTTAAAGGCGCTACTTCCGTTTTTAGGTTAGGCGTTTTAAATATTTTCATTTTTCATATCGTCGAATTTCATTGGTATATATGTTGTCATGCTGTATCATTATTTATTTATACCCTTGCGTTGTTGTGAGACGTAAAAGCGATTTTCAGAAACTAAACATTAATAAAAACAATGACTATAAATTATGAGCCTACCATTGGATATTTCAATGAGGAAAAGTTAGTTCCGAATGTCAACTTTAATAACATCTTTACAAGTGTAGTAATTGTTATAGCATAAATATGAAAAATATGGATAAGTTGTTGGTTCGATTGTTTACATTGCATAGACGCGGGCGAAGTCGCAGGAAAGCATCTATATAAAACAAAAGATTTATACCTACCACTTAGATAAGCACAAAAAATATCTCTTGGAATGAGAGTTAATATACACGTTCATCATGATGTTATAATTGTTGTAATAAAAGTCACATAAAATCTTGTGTCTGCAGGGCCAGCCTGTTTATGTAGGCAAACTAGGCAACTGAATAGAGCGCACGTATTTTGGGGTCGCATAACTGGCAAACAGATTATATGTATTTTCTCGAATTATTCTGATCTTTAAAATGCAATACTATATAATAAATTTTCAGAGCAGAGATTTTTTTATGCACGCTGTTCAGTATTGAGCCTGGGGCGCCATGTTCCAGTGTTTTGCCTAGGGCGCCAAATTCCAATGTTTTGCTTAGGGCGTCGACTTTCATTGATTCGGCGCGTCAAAAGCCACTTATTTGTTTTTCGTGTATATGTCGGCTTTTATCGCCTTACTATCATCTATAACAAAAGAGGTGACGACTAGGAAAAAAAAAAATTGTACGTCAGTCAGATAATAGAAAAATATAACATACGTATTTTTTTTACTGCAATTTAACAAGAAATAGCATTAAAGTTGAGGAGTGGAGGCTCAGTACGTTACAGTTTTGTTGAAAATGTACAAAATCGTGACATTTTAACTCAATGTATCGCCGTAATTTAATGATTAAGAAAAAATACGTCTTTAATATTTTTCAACAATCTACCTGACGGACAAATAAACAAAAATTGGTGGTCAACCCTATCGCTATATCATCTATTTAAAAAAGTGTGGAGAATTAAATTTGAAGTAAATTTTGATTAAATATTTTTTGCGCTCAATCGTTTTTGAGTCTGAGGGCTGAGAGCGCGTAATACAACGGTGACCTTTAGGAAATAATGCCTTAATTGTAAACTTATCTATATCTATACTTATAATAACTTAGATAGAAGAGAGGTCAATTCTGTACATGAAATATATTTCCAAAATAACTATCAGGGGGTGATTAGGGATCGATGTTGATGCCAAAAATGCAATCAGTAAAATTTTTATTTGTCTGTCTGTATAACCGTTATAGAAACAAAAACTACTCGACGGATTTTAGCGAAACTTGGTACAATTATTTTTCATACTCCTGAGCTGGTTATAGTATACTTTTCATCACGCTACAATCAATAGGAGCAGAGCAGTGAAGGGAAATGTTGGGAAAACGGGAGAAGTTACTCCATTTTTTAAGCTTCCGTCGCGTCTGCAACCTTAACATTTAAAGCTACCCAGAAATCATGTATGACGGAAATGTTCTCCTTAAATTTATATAAAAAATATCCCACGACAGCATATGTCTATCTTTTATGGTTGACTCACAATAACACGTGTAACTCCCGATAGCTTAGCAGTTCGAAGCTTTCTGATTGTAATACAGCCAGTTGCACAAACGCCCATTAAATTTTTCATTGGTTTAAAGTGACATTACCCATACAAATTTGACATTTATTAGAGCTTAAAGGCGTCACAACCCTAATGGAAGTTTGTGCAACTGACCGTTTGTCTATTGTCTACTCTTACGTTTATAACACTCTCAGTCATCCCTAATTAAAAAAGTTAAATCACGCCGAAACTACTGAACGTATTTTGATGAAATTTGGTATACAGATAAGGTATTAGCTGACTTAGATAATAGGATACTTTTTATCCCACTTAACATTTCCCTAGGGACCCCGCGGGCGAAGCTGCTGGCGAAAGCTAGTGTATAATAAATATTAATCACAGACTTTTTACTGAAAAATAATATAAAATGTTACTGGCTGTTATTTTTTTTTACCGATTATGAGTTTGGAATGTTAACTTTTAGTTTATTTATATTGCAAAGTCATTTATTTTTATTTTGTCGTGATGGAGGGAACGAAACAATTACGTGTAACTGTCATTTCGCTATTTACGCCTTAAATAGCGAAATGACAGTTACAAAAATCGATGCAGATTTTCCACGAGCTGAAAAGTTTTACTGTAAGCCGTAACTTCGTCTAATACACAATACAGCGGTACAAAGAGACAAGTTCTTTGCAAAATCGCCAAATGAGTGGTCGGCCACGCTCTGTGAGGACGCCTGCGAACATCAAAATCATCCGAGAGCGACTTCACCGAAATCCATATCGCACTCAGAAGAAACTCGCTCTGCAGACTAAATTTTTCGAGCGTTTCAGTAATCTGAAAGGCCTATAGCCGTAGCAAAATTCCCTTTTTAAACGATCGTCTTCGTTAGTTAAGATACTCTATCCAGGAAGTTAGTGATAAGAAGATATCTTCACCAACGAGAAAATTTTTACTATCGAAGAAAAGTTCAAGCAAGGACGTCCCAGCTTCTGCACGGAATGTCTCGCGCACTCATCATCCGGCTAGTGTTATGGAATGGTGGGGAGTTTCGTATGAAGGTGTCACTCCGCTCCATTTCTGCCGACAAGGTGTCAAGAAGAAAGCCAAGAATTATCAGAGTGACATTTTAGAACCTGTGGTAATCCCTGTCTGATACTTTATTTCCCAATAGGGATTGAGTTTTTCAGCAGGACTCGGCGCCATTCCATAAGGAAAAAAGCACCCAAGCTTGGTTGAGGGAAAATGTGCCGGCCTTCATCGCGGTGGACGAGTGGCCCTCCTCTAGCTCCGACCTCACTAGATTATTCTTTATGGACTGAATTAGAGCTCAGGGTCTGCCGAAAGTCCAAAATTGGACTCACTGAAGCGAACCCTTGTTCGAGAAACAAAGCGAATTACGCTAGAAAAGAGTCTCGATGACTTGCCGTAATTGATGACTTTCTAATTCGTTGAAGGGTCTGTATTACAAACAAGGGCGGTATTTTGAATAAAATATATATTTTATTGTTGATTATTATCTATTTAATGGTCACTGAAAATTTTAGAAATATAAGTTAAATATTAAAAAAGTTAAGTAACATTTATTTCATCTCAAAACTTATGAACGCACGAGGTAGAATAAAAAATAAAAATAACCAATATACCTATAAAACTTCTCTAAATGGTACCTATAGATGGAAGAATAAAAAGCCCTTTATTTCTCAAGTGGCGTTTCATTTGACATGCATAAATATAGCATTTGAAATGAATAAATATTAGACAAAATCATATACATTGCTCAGATTTGAAATAAAGTAGCTAATGCACTTCTATTATGGAAGTTTGGAATAACGAAAAGTACCACTTCATTCAGACCTAAGACTGTATAAGGTTTGGATGTGGAGCAATTTAAGCTGGATCCGAGGCCCTTTCTCTAAAAGAGAGAGGGAGCACGGAGGGCGTTTCGTGGGTAATATCATCCGCGTTTTGAGTAGCCTTCGGGCAGGTCTGTGCGAATGGAGAAATGCACACACCCCTACCGCCTGTCAAGCGACGGGGAACAGAGCATAAAGCATTCAACATTAAACATTAAAGCAAATCAAGCTTATTTGACAGATCTCAATTGATAAATTTCGAGACTTTCAATTAAACTTCAAAACCGCATTGAAGATCTTGAGAACAGATACGGTCTTTACGGTAAAGTCTAAGTATTTCCACACACACTATCTCAGATTAAAGAAACTCTCTGATAACATATTCCAACTCATAAAAATGAGACACAATTAGGTTAGATAAGAAGTTAATGAATGAAAGCCGTTATCAGCGGTGAAATAGACAAGTACCTATATTAAATTCTTGATATTACGACCTTCGCCGATTCTATGCAATTACACTATGTCGGTCTGATTACAGAGCTAAGACAAAAATCCCATCCAATTGCAGCGAGGCGTGAGCTAGACACGCGACAATGGATAGGACAAAAATCATATCAATCGTTCGTGTGTAGTGCCGTAGTACCTAACTCTCTAGTTAAAATTGGGAGTACTACTCCAAAAGTTGTCGACCATTATGTATATGTACTTAGGTCACATAGTTCAGTTAAGTAAGTCGAGAAAGAGATCTCTCAGTGAATACTTTTTTGATGGAAAGTGTTCAGTAAGCTACGAAAAATCTGTATTTAAAATCTTGGATCAGTTTGTTTTGTCAGTAATGATGACCCCTAGAAGTGAATCGAATCTTGGTGTGTCTCTACGTGGTCGATTCAAGAAACCAAATAATCTATGGCCAGTTGTGAAAAAGACCTCGAAGGGCAATGAAGCATGCCTAACGTTATAGTCAATACAATTTTGTTATAGATTGTTACATTCGATTGATCGCTTTCTAATAGTCGTTTGTGATTGGTTTGTTATCAAACAATTGTTCTATAATTTGCTATCAGTTTTCTCTAGATAACTCTTTGGTTTTCTATGATTTGTTATCGCACCCTGCAATAAAGTATAGTTTTAAAAAATTATTGCTTAGTTCGAATAAACTATCACAAGAAATATTCACTTAAATAATAAATACTGACATAGCTACAGTCTCAATGCAGCCATGCGTATTTTTTTTTAAATGCATGGCTGTATAACTTGATCGTTTTGCCGTTACCAAACGTATCTTTTTTTACATTGACATTTCTAGTCGGTAGGGATGGATGATCTGTTAACATCGATACAGTCTTACATGAGTAGTTATCATATTGCACTACTAGTTTTGAATAATAGAAGACATTACTATTTTATTAGATATACAAAACATAAATGTATTCTTAAGATATAAATAATATAGAGTGGACGCATAGGAGGTGGTATAAATCAGTAGGCAATACGATTAAAGGTGGAGTAGTAGTAAGGCATAGTCAAAAGTTATCGTTATAACTTACCAATTGGATACACATATATGAACTGAAAATCACAACGTGATGGTTACTTATAATTTAAGCAATATATAAAGTCAACTGCGACGGAATAAGAGACAGAGCGTTTACCATAACATTCAAGATTGGCTCTACAAATTGCACATAGTGGCTTTTGTGCATAAGATTAAGAGATTAAACATTCATACAATAAAATTCAGCATTTTCCATAATATTAATGTATCATATGTTTTAGATCACTATATCGTAGTGGCTGCATTTGAAAGAATCTGATATAAAATTTATGTTCATCGTAATTAAATCTGGAATTTAATTACGATGAACATATAAATTTTCAAGACTCAATATAATTGCGTGCTTATGATACTTAAAATATTTAGTATCTCAGTGAAAGTTTGTAAAAAAATATCTGATTTGTTATTATGACTTAGCAGACTAAGTCATAATAACAAATCCAAAAAAAAAAACAAGTTTCTTGTATTTGTTATTATAGAGGCAACAGAAATTCATCATCTGTTAAAATTTAAATAATCAATCTATTTTATGAGATACAGACTGATGACTGACGGACCAACAGCGGATACATAGTACCTAATAGGTTTTCCCTTTTTATCCTTTGGATATGGAACCCTATAAAGACCTTAAGAAGGGATGTTCGTGGCCGCAACAGGACATATCTCATTGCTTCCTTAAATATATTGGGATTATAACCTACATCTCTTGCTATTCGCTGAGTTCGAAGTAGGAGGTGAGGGAACAACGATTGCTTTCTGGATTACCGTAATGATTCAAAGAATAAAAGTGAAATAAAAAATTTATAATGCAGTACTTTTATTTAAAGATATGTCTATTATTTTAAAACAAACATATTTAATATAAGATAATATTGTAAATCTGTTTGTGGGTAGAAATAAAGATAAAATTGAGTCTTGTTATTGTATTTCTTACAGGAAATTAAACACCAAATTATTAAAATACTATAATAATAGACACTTCTAATTCCTTCGTCACCATAATCGCTAATTGGGGCCGTCATCGCGTACCTAGCGAATATCTTAAAAACGTTTTTTATAAGGGTTACATTAGCTCCAGGAATTATCCTGAACGTGAGGAGGAATACTGTTTCGTCTTTCATAAATGTAACATGTGCAGATCAGCAGTTGGATGTTATACTTTTACTCTTTCATTCGTTCTATATCGATATCATGGTTTATTCGATATCAATATTTTCGTCGTCGATATATCAGCATCCCTAGCTTAGTTAGTTGGTTGACAACTTGACGCAGTGGTTGTATATTTTTCGCAAAATTATGAATTAATGAAAATTTGCGATTTTTAAATAAATGACATGGTTTTATATCTTTAGAAAGTCTCACTATCTCTCAGCGATGTTGTTCGTGGGAATATTGTGTTTGTTTAGTTTGTGTACAATAAATTCAGAGGCCTCTACTCACTGGATGGTTACTGAAAGTGGTTTAATTCAACCGAAGGTACGATAAGAGTTTCCGTTCCCGTTAATATTGGTTGGTTTTCCTGTTGGACGTTAAACTTTTAATGTAATATTGTATTACAATGCTAAAACCATGTGTTTTGTAATCAGAGTTGAGGCTCTTTCCCTTACTATGGCTATGAATTTTATATTTACTTAATTACATAGAGAAAAAGGTCTAATCCCAGTATTAATGATAAGAAGGATAATCAATCGCTTAACATTTCAGGAAGAGTCTCCATTTGAAATGGAAAATCCTCATGATCTTCTTGCTTTTCTAAGTCAAGATACTAGGTGGGATAATATAATAAATTTATACCACGACTTAGCTAAGAGACAAACAGTAGCTGCCAATTTGTGGTCAAATATACAGAAAAATTCTGATGTCACAACATTAATTTTAAAAGAAGACAGTTGTAATAAAGCGGGGCAGTTGAATTATTTGGATTGGTATGCTTCATTTTTAGAGGAAGGTAAATCAAAACAAATACCAGATGAAGAGTTTTTGCTGTACAAACCTTCTGTTGGTCAAGATGTTGATGTGCCTGACTGTAAGAAGATATCATCTCTGACATTTAGCATGTTTGCATTTGAGCATCTTGAGGTAAATAGTTTTATGATTTTTACAGATAAATTCTTAATGCACATTGCATTAGAGTCAACTGCAAAGACAAATATAAAAGGGTGTGTTAGTAGAATTCTGTGGTTTGCTGTAAAAGTAATTAAAATGTGTTAGTAAATGCTTATTAATATTGTGGTACTAAATTGTTTGTTATGTTATATAAATATATTAAGATGAATAAATTACTTTTTAGGGTTTGAAGCAAAGAGATAATTTGACTACCAGTTCTGAAATGGCCCTTCCAGAGATAATTTCTCCTATTATGACAGTAGACCAGTTTGGTCATTGGCTCTCATTGTCTCTTAAAAGAAACAGTTCCTCATGGCTGCATTATAACATGGCATCCATGTATTGGAGAGTAAGAGGCAATGCTCCCAAAGCAATAGAATGTAGCCGTAGGGCACTTCATTATGCACCAAGGTATTAATTTCTAATAATTGTCAGAGGTAATTGACAACTAGCAAAGAATGTAAGGTAGAGCCAAGAATTTGAATCTTTTTCAATACTAAATCCTCATACAATTATCAATCTAAACTTTGTTAATTTTTTTTAATATTCTTTTTCTCTCTAAATTGACACACTGGTATATTTCAACAGGGAATATAAAGATGTGGCACTTTTAAATTTAGGTTCCATTCTGCATAGAAGTAAAAAGACAGAGGATGCAATCATAGTACTTGGAGCTGCTGTTGATCATAATCCTCAGTATCATATAAATCACTTTCTACTTGCAACTGCATATGCTGTTCTTGGAGAATATAACAATTCTCTTAAACATTTAGATAAATGCATGCACCTGGATCCAAGTTTTGAAATGGCTGAACGGTATAGATATGGAATAGTCTGTCATTATGTATTGTGGCAAAGGTTGAACGTTATTAGAAAGTAAGTATTATTTGTGATGATAGCTATATATTTCTTTGTTTTAATATCTATTATTTGAATATTTTCGAAATTTACACATAAGTCTTGTATGACAGAGATCACTTCCAGACCTATCTACTATGTAATTTTATTGAAATTTGGATGAATTATTTTTAAGTTCCATAAAAAAAAAATTATTTCAGAATAGCAGATGAACTCCGTGAAGAATTGATTGAATATACCAGCAGGGAAGCCGATTGGATAAAATTGCATGCAACTTTTTTAAGAACTAGGAAACATGATCCTGATGAGGGTTTGTAGTCATTACAATAATTCAAATTTAATATCATTTACTTAGTTTAGGCTGTAACAAGTACTTGTTAATATTTTTGGGACTCCATAAATTTTTTATTAAATGAATTTAAGAGAGGGGAATGAGTGTGTCTTATTTTTCTTACAGGGGGGGGAGTTTATTTATTGTTCTAACTTAAGAAAGTAAATTTAAGTGAAAAAGATATATGTACTTATACATTTACCCAGTGGGTTTTGAGCTTCTTGACTGATGAAACTTGTATAAATTAAAGGGGGTGTAAATGCAATAGCAAGTTTTTGGTCCTGGTTGAATTAAGTTGTCGATCTTGGCCTATTGCCGCCCCGGGTCTCAATCCGCCTCATAATAATTATTGTTCACATGATCATTATCTATCATAATAAAAAGCTCAATCATTCGTAATGGTTTTCAAAAAGACGCCAACTTCCATAAAAAATTGACCTTTGCCTTTGGAATAGGGCAAAGGACAATTTCCGTGTCAAAGGAACTCCTCCGTGTTAAGCCATTGGTCACTGTTGCTTCTGCAGTCGTTAATGCCCACTAATCCTTATTGGGCTCGCGTGATGGATCATGGCCCATTCTTCTTAATATGAAGAAGGTGAATAATCTTCATTACCCCCCTTTAAGGATAAACTATAGCTAATTTCTTATAAGAAATAGAGTAGTCTTTTATGCAAGTGATTAAAGATTTAATATTGAAACAGAACCTTTGGTGTACGATCTGATTCACAACTTGTTTTAAGTACCAAAAATGCCAAAATACTTAACCTTTGTGATATAATCACTTGGTTATCAGTGTGTCCATACGTCACAATCGATTTGTTACTGGACCAATTGATTTAAAATTTGATAAACACACATGGTAATCCAAAGACGATCGTATAACGTATATTACGGTCTTTTTTAATTATTCTTTATGCACAAATGCACACGGGCGGACTTAGCGCCTGAAGCATTTTCTGCCAGTCAACCTTAGGGTAATATGGAAAATAACCACAAAAATAGACTAATTAATAAGTTGACATACTTTAAGATACAAACAATATAATATACATAGAAACACACATACTTACATAAATATAAATACAATATATTAAATACATACGCAATTAACGGACATTAAAGGACATTAAAAAAACTTTTGCAATTTATACTTCGTGACATTTTAAATTGGTAACACAATAGCACTTTTTTGTTTGTTTTTATTATAATGCGTTTTATTGTAATTAATCATGTGTAAACTGTGTATGTCGTGTGTGCTATATTAAAACGTATTCTATTATTTTCTAAACGAAAGGGCTTATTGTAAGCATCTCAGATTTTTCTATTCTACTAGGTCTAATATTTTGAAAAATATACAAATTAATCGAAAACCTATATAATAAGTCATTTGTGCGCGAATCGACGCGCTCTTTATGGCTGTTTATTTAAAATATAATATAATAGTAATAATTATTTATTCACTCATTGTCACTCACTCATTCATGTAAATACATGGCATTTATTTATTTGGGGTCTGCACAATATGTTTTCGTCTTCCAAATGCCTCGATCATCATCTCAACATTAGCTTATTTCTTACGCACATCATCTTTCATACAGTCTATTCATATTTTTTCCAATCTTTCCTTCCTACATTTCTATCCACATTCATGTTCATAATAATACATAATCCTAATAATTGTCTCATACTATCTAATTGATTTGGTATTTTAAATATAAAATTACCATCTTTTTATAAAATAGGTTTTCATTGCAGATTTCCGCAATTATTTAAAAAATGCGGAGAAGATCTCGGAACTAACGGGTTTCAAAATGCTAGACTTAAAACAAGAAGGTGATCGGTACTCTGTGATACAGTATTTTCTTGATGGTCCAGTTTCCATCAGTGAGAAACTCCAAGAAAAGGGTGTATTTGCTTTAGACTCGGCATATAGTTTACAAAGACTGGTCAAACATATAGAAAAACATGCGAACATGGCATCAAAGTATGTCCAGCCCGATTTAAGCAAACTAATGGATGCAGAGGTCCTAAAAGAAATTGAACGACCTTTACCTGACGCCCCATTTATTCATCCGGGATTTAAAGGTAACTCAAAGCTTTTTTTTTTGTTAGTTAAAGTTTTATCGACAGTTTTTGTAACTAATAATTTGTTTATAACCTTTTGAAGCAGAAATACCCAATCTGAACAATAAGGATATTGAAAAGGATACGGGAACCACACAAGAAAAGAAAACTAGTCATACAAAAGGGGATTTCTCGGAATATTTCACTGGAAATATATTGTAAGTTTTCAATAACGCAGCTTTGGTAGTGAAAAATAAGTCACGTGATTGCAGAAAAACTAAAATTTACATTGAAATAAACGTAGATATTGTGATTTTGAGTCATAAATATGTATTATTATTATTTCGTTTTGATCGTTCTTTGTGGAGTTCGGTCCTCTTTGCTTACCCCGCAAGGGATACGGCGTGAAGATTATAGAAATTTGCTTGATTATCTTACCACAGTAAAATTAAAAGACGAGATTTTTTTTTGTTTGTGTGTCACGTGACTTGAAACACGCACGACCCGTCATGATGTGACGTCGCTCCGGCAACATCTGTGAGATTACTTGTAAACATGCCTATTTATCGGAACTCAAATTCTTAGATGGCGCTGTTCTCATGTACCCTATTTATATCCTTTTGTTTTGTAGCCAGCCCTTTATTCTGTAACTTTGAAAACAATCGATATAATTGTTCTCAGTTCTGTGGGCTTGACACATTGGAATTGTTCGTTTATATGGTGACTAAGATTTTAAGTTGTCAAACAATTACAAATATGTCAAATAGAGTAGAATATTCTATTATTTTTAGAGTTTGCTTACCTTATATAATGTAATTTTAGTTATCTATGCACAGATTTCCTCCATCGATGAAGGTGAATAGAAATTTCGAAGACTTCGACAGAGAGCATGCGTGGCCTTCCAATAGATTGTGCAAAGAAAGTGAGCCCAGTTATCCGAAGCACCTTGACGCCATTTACCCTGTTTTCTTACCGTTTGAAAATAAGGGTATCAGGTTAGCAAATCATATACATACATAATTATTATATTTTGATCGCAATTTACAATATTCTGATAAATATCTACATATGTAAACTGTTTCCTTATTTGTCTTTTTGATTAGGGTTTTTATGCGACCATAGACAACTTATTGCAACATTCGTAACAATTCTATGGATTTCAGGGAATCATTATTATATTTTATCAGTTTTGCAAACGTATTTTCATTTATGTATTTTCATTAAAAAAATTAAAGGTCTCTCAATATTAGGACAAAATCAATTTATTACCCTGGAGAAGAGTACAATAATGTAAAAGAAAGTAACTGGTTATGAGTAGTCCAACTAATGTTACATAAATCTGATCTGATATGCTGATATTTGTAGATTTGGATCAGAATTTAAATAAAATAGTTGTTTTTTTCTTAGTAATTGGTCTCAATGTATACCTTTCTCTGAGGCCCTAGGTTCGATTTCCGATTGGGTCAATGTATGTGATGTGGTCTAGTATTTATTTAATTGTTGTCAAATTTCAGATTGAATAAATTATTATCAGATAAAATTGGAGTGCCGGTGAGTGCTGAACATGAATTACCATGGTATCCTCCACTGTGTCCACAGGATAAAGATGCTGCCGCTTTCACGCAGAAGAAGACCCATAAGTAAGAGTCATTCAGTTTATACTTATAAACAAAACTGGTCTAGAGCCTTAACTTTTAAAAACTATAAGAGGGAAAATAACTCTCTCCTATAAATAAACCATAGGATCTGTCCTATGGATTATTTACAGGTAAGAATTATTTTCGTTCTATTAATCGATATGTCGCAACCAATCAGGTCAGACCAATGATTAATTAATACATTTATGGCGCAGACATAGTATGGCATGGTGTAATTAAAAATTGCTTTGGGGTATCATTTTTTCCTTTTCAAAAGTCTATTGCACAGAATATAATTTTTGTTGAATGATTTCAGGAATAATCTGAATAAACAGGTAGTGGACACAGGTCACCTGAGGACCAAACTTTTAGAGTATACTGGTGATGGCAATGTTGAATCTGTAATGCATATGCAAGATGTCGAGATAGGACATCGCATTTATATCGCTATGAAAAAGGTAAATATCCTAGTACACTGCATGAGTTGTGTGATCTATACGATTTGATTGTTTGTTTGTATTAGATAGGTTTTAATACATCATACACTAATTTACGCGGTAAATTAGCTACATAGTACAATATTAAAACTTAATGCTGTACTTATTGCAAAACAAATGTAACATTATATCATTTTGTAATACCATAAAATCTTAATTACCTTTTGAAGTAACATTTATTACGCAACTGCTCAAAAGGGAGTTGTATTGTGATAAGGTTTAACATATGTATGTGAGTTTCTTTATTCCACCATAACTTTTGAAAGACTTAGCGGTTATTAATGGCTATCATTAGAAACTTTCCATTGTCTTGAAATACTTATTCTTCATCTTAGGTATTATTTAAATATACAAAATGGCGGATGTATGACGCTATTAAAAAAATATGATGAAAAACATTGTTTTCTCTAATTAAAAGATATAACATTAAAGGTTTTAATGAGTACATTTCAAAAATATATAAGTAGTGTATATTTACTAATAAATAATTTCAATAATAAAAACACCACTGCCAAAATCAAACTAAACAAAATTCTCACTGCAGTTTTAGATTACAAATGTTCTGCAAAATGTTTCCCCGGCTGGAACGAGAATATTATTTAGCCAAGCCATAACACAACTTGTTTCTTTTATTATATGTTTTATAACAGAATAGTACACAAGGGATATAATATGATATGATTTCCAATTGCTGCAGAAGCTGGCTCCGGAATGGATCTTGTATACCTTAGCATCACTTTATTGGCGAGTTAGAAGTAACAATGCGAACGCTCTGCACTGTTTGATGTCAGCCAGCAAAAAAGTGGATCCAAAGTATAAGGATCTAGTGTTAGCTTCTCTGGCATCTGTTTATGTAGAAATGGGACATTTCGATGAATCTCTGTCGGCGACCGAAGAAGGTTTCAAATTGGGTGTTTACGAGGTAAGCAATAAGATCGAAAATATAATAGGTATCTTACACTTGGACATAAATTGATAATAACCTGTTTTACTATTCGGTAGTGAAACCAACATCTATCTATATCTATAATATATAAAGTATAACTCAAAGGTGACTGACTGACATAGTGATCTATCTATATCTATAATATATAAAGTATATATATATATATATATATATATATATATATATATAACTCAAAGGTGACTGACTGACATAGTGATCTATCAACGCACAGCCCAAACCACTGGACGGATTATGCTGAAATTTGGCATGCAGGTAGATGTTATTTTGATCAATTCTACCCCCAAGTGGATAAAATAAGGGATGAAAGTGTGTATGAAACTTTGTCAATTTTAAACTGATCGGGCTGGGACTTTGCATGCATAAAGCTACTATGACGTAGGCATCTCCTAAGAAAGGATTTTGATAAATTCCACCCCTAAGGGGATAAAATAGGGGATGACTGTCGATTAAATATTATATATATTTTTTAGAAACGACGAATAAATATTCGTTAGAAATGCTGCTCAAAGTAATAATTTCGACGTTAAATTCGTCACTGAATTTCTTATGCCATCATCACTCGCGTGTGATACTCTGTTACTTATCGTTTTCTTGCCAGGTCACATTGGTTTAGTAACGTTTAAGACTATGTACGGAGCATTCAATCTGATATAGGCAAAATATTCTTCGTAAGTTCATGGCTCATTCTGATGTTGATTTCGTGGCCGTGGACTCGTACTATTCAATACAAAAAAAGATCTGCCTGGAACGTTGTTGTTACGATCACCATATGTTGCGTTGTAATGGGCAAAAGAATCTGCAGATTAGAGTTGTCAAAAGACGTTTTGATCCTCCAGTAGATTATCTTTACCTTGCTTGATGAACCTTTAATGATGTTGTATGAGAAGTAACATTGTCCATACTACACAAAAATTACCGAGTGGACTTGATTAATAGTTAAGTTTTTTTCCAAAGCCAGCTCTCAACTTCGTGTTGTCTGAGTTAAATATGTTGCGGAAACATCGGAACACGCATATATTTCATTTGAAGCAAGTAATAAGAGTGGAGCCAAAGTTTATGGGTGGACTTGCGAGGAATCTCCTCAACGGGTGGTCCTGTCTCATGAAGCAGATTACCACCATGGCAGAAGTTGGTAAGAGGAAAAATAATAAATATGTATGAAAATTCAGATGGGGACCTTTTGAGGTTCTTTAAAAAAAATATATCCCCACAGGGTTTTTATAAAACATAAGCGACCTCGCTACAGCTGCTTATATTATGCGATATGTGATAACACCGCTGTAATCCGAGTAGGATAGTAACAATTTATCTTGCATCGAGTGTCGGTAAGAACGCTAATGCTAGGCTTTCAGGGCCATATAACTAGCATTACAAAACAATCATATTTGATTTTGATATTGAGTTGCGCCTTTAGAAAATAGAAGATGAAGAATATTTGAATTCAGCGTTTTAACATAAGAACATAGTTAGTTCAAGGATGATTTTTGTACTATCGTGTCGTTTACGTTTATGTATTATTAATAAACGAAAGGTCAACGCTATGCTCACGCGAGTATTTACATATCGGTGTTGGGTATTTACATAGATATATTACCATTCGAGTAAAGTAATATAAAATAAAGTAATTTTACGTCTCAGGGGCTCCAGATAAAGAAACATTATTTACGATAAATATCAGTAGCCATTGAGCAATTAATAAAACAACGAATTCTTAAAAGTCTGTTCTGTTCCGTGTTCTTAATAACGTTAGTCATCTAGTTCTGCGAGATGTCGGTGTTTTACAAATAACCCTGTATAAGTAAACTTTAAAACTCTAATTTAGGATATTCATGAGATTTCAAAAAAAATAAATAGATTTAACAAATGTTGTAAGGTACGTTTAGTATTAACAAACATTTAAAATTTTATAATTTAATTGATAGGCTTAAGCGAAGACATATGCACACAAGTAGAGCCGGGCGTGAATATGGTGTGCGGTAAGGATGGTACAAACTGCCACGTCACTAACATAGAATGCTTCAAAAACGAAGACAAAGGTAAATCTCAAAGAACTTGTCATTTTGAATTTGTACCAAAGACTTGACTGTAATAGTAATAGTTGTGTAAAAATAAGTTACAACGATATAATAGCAGTAGGTTATTTAGTAAATTATAACTGAGATTACAACATTTTTTATGTTTTATATTGTAAGAAAACAATAGCTTTTACATGATTTGATTGTTATAAGCAGTGGTCGGAATTAGGTAGAGTTATTCATGTACTTACATTGATTTCATACAGCGAAAGAATAAAGTGGATATGCCTCAAATCCCGAGATTAATTTTAAAGAGCAGAAAAAATCCCGTGATTTTTTAAATAAAAAGTTATTTACTTTACACAATTTAAACTACTGCACGCACGACGTTGCCAAACTTACATCAATGACATCGGATGTCCAAAGTTGCAAAATACCAATACGCGCGATGTTGCCACATTTGCACAACATAAGAAGCAACATAATAAGCTTGTGAGAACAAAAGAATACAATAGCGCAAATGCGGAGCACTCCCCACATAACGTAATGTACTAGATTGTGTCTCTTTCTACCGCATTCAGACTATCTAAATCCGGGAAGGTCCACATTAATATCAACATTTCGATGCAAGTACATAAATAACTCTACCTAATTCCGACCTCTGGTTATAAGTTAATACTAACAAAGTTTATAGCTTATAACAGGTTATCTTTTAACCAATAGTGTATCTACTTATAACAGTTCGGCTCGAATTATTATTTCAATTTAGCAAATTTGCGGTAGAGCCTTTGCTTAAACACCATTCATCGATCCGGAACAAACACAGGAGAAATGTGAAAAGAAAAACATTAATTTAGAAATAATTTTCCGAAAAACTACCAAGGACGTTTAATTAATTCAATATACTTAATTTTAATTCAAGTATATGATGGTTTGATTTTATCTGCCCAATTTTAAATGAACTTTTTTTTTTAACCGTGTTTGTAAGTGTTATTACTTTTAGATCATTTTGAAGACAGTTTAAGTTAAAAAAATATAATTCCTATTCTATTTTTTTTCCGAGGTCCTCCTTGGACTGTATTAATAAAGCGATGTGAGGTTTGTTAAGGCATTTAATATGGTAAGAATATACAATAAAAAAGATATACGATTTTATTTTATTTATTACTTTTAAAATAATCATTTATCACGATACGTAACGTCATAATTCGCTGCCACTTATAGGCAAAACCAAATTACACACACCTCGTATACAATCATCCTATCCTATTAATATTATAAATGTGAAAGTTTCTTTGTTTGGATGTTTGTCGGTCAATCACGCCGAAACTACTGAACGGATTTTGATGAAATTTGGTATACAGATAGGGTATTAGCTGACTTAGATAATAGGATACTTTTTATCCCACTGAACATTTCCCTAGGGTCCACGCGGGCGAAGCCGCTGGCGAAAGGTAGTATACAAATAAAAGGATAAAAAATATGTATAGAGCTGTAGTTAGTAATAATAAATATATTTTTAATGATGTGAATAACTAACCTTCCGCAAATTCCTTTGCCAGACTATGTTCGGTATTTTTCAATCTGATCTGGTAACCCATCTTGATCAGTGACGTCACGTACGTGAAATGAACGGGACGTATCATTTCAGATCCGGCCCAGAGAAAATATGTTAGTAAATTATTTCATAAAAACGATTTGTGTAAAATTTGTGAATCTGTGGAAAATTATGTATTCGACATTCTTATACCCTTTTAAATACCTCCTTTTAAGTCGGTTAAAATACCGCTCTGTACCCTTAGTCTCTGTCCTACATTTGCGAAGAATATCGATGTAACTTATTTTTGGGATTCAACTTTAACTATAGCAAAGAAAATAAATCTAAATAAAAAAATATATATTAATTGTTTATACTTGGAATAGTCCAAGTTGGAAAAAATATTAGTTATTAAATAGCAAATTTAAAATAAATTGTTGACCTGTCAGTATTTGTATATTAATTTTCCTTTATGTTTATTATATTTTTTTAAAAACTATTTTTTGTTTTATTTTACAAGTATTATTGAAAATTCTAGATAAATGTACCTGAGTATTCAACAGATTTCATCATAGCTGCAAATTTTATTCTTGGGAATACATATGATACATATGTTAAAATTAATAATAATAACTTAAAAAACAATTCAGTTCCATAGACATCCTCAACAGTTTTCCTTCTCCTAGAGCTAGACAGTAAAATATACCTACTTATATTATTTTATCCATTGAAATGCCAATCAGAGAGGTACTATGATTTACTTAGTTCTTAAAAAAATATCTTACCTTAGTATATTTTGTTTTTTTTTTAATAGAGCCGTATAATATCTGTTAACTTTTCTCATTTGATAATTTCCATTAATTAGTCTGCGATAAATGAACCATAAACATTTGATATTTATATATATATCTATACAAGCGCCTCTATAGCAAATTTAAACAAGTATAGTTTCTCTAATGTCTGTCTGTCCGCTGTATAGAATTATCGACGAACCCGTAACTTTAATTATTTGTTTTAAATAGAAAGCACCAGCACTCTAGTCAAATTACTAGGGATGAAAGATAAGCAGAGCGAAGAATCGGAAATAATGGACGACAGTATGTTCGATGAGTTTAAGGACAATATGCCTAAAGATAGAAGCGATAAAGACTCACACCAGCGCAATTATGATATGATGCGTGAAAGTGTGGATACTGCATTAAGGGGTTGTGGGAGGTTAGGGTGTAAGGGTAAGTCAACAAATCATTGCCTTATTTATCTATATTGATATAAGAAACAGGAAAGATTTAATTCTTTGTTTGCATTAAATAGGCTACGAACACCTACAGGAGCGAAATCATTAGAGGGTGACATAGTTTTATGCTGGCGAAGTAGCGGGAAAACAGCTAGTTACAATTAGATAGTTATTTGTTATGTACATTAAAGGTGGAATCATTTATGTGGCGTGTTGTATTGTCGCTTTTTATGTCGCCTGTTTCATACATTAAAATGTATCGGATATATTTATGTCGTGTTACAATACAGCATGACACAAAAATGTGTTTCCACCTTAAGGGTTAATAATAACGATATACTTGTTACAGAAGATTTACTTCGCAAAAACATTTATATAAAAATTAGTTTACTAAGTACACATTCAGATGCAAAGCTAAAAATTTACTTTTTATTTACAATATATTGCGTAATTCTATTTCTTTTAGATCTTATTTAAGGTCACGTTTGTCCTTCCAGATATTCGACCTGAAGATTTGGAGTTAACTGAAGAAGACTGTACTAATCAGCATTTAGAATTAAGTTACTGGCTGCACACTGTCAATTTCAGACAACTTGTTGTGGATTATAATTTACGGTATTCTTTGTTGCTCGTATTCTTACATTTGTTTATGGTAGTAGAGTTTGATTGACGTGTTTCCTTGTTTTCCTTAATAATATTGTTGCGGATCTTCCTGATCTTGAACAGTTTTAACGTAGCTAGCCGATGTTGGACTTTAGAATTAAAACACCGTCGATAATTTTCACTTCTTCTTTATTGAATCTCGAGGGCCGGAGAGATTCAATAAAGAAGAAGTGAAAAAACTGCTCAAATCGACCCGTCTTACATTTGCTGGGGTGGCACGCACTTAGCTCCGTATATAACCAGTTTGTTATCATATCCCCTACTTGGTGAAGCCACCTCCCACTCTTAACATCTATGTATTACTAGTCGTTACTAATACCATTTACTTATTTACATTACAAATTAGGTAAAAAACATTCATACATCACTCGAATCGTGTCGGACAAGACGGCGCTTTCGAAGTTCATAATCGTCGCGCTCTTGCCAGACTTATTTATGTGGTCAGAGTGAGACGGAAGATCCCGCGTAAACTAGCGCCGTCTCGCTCTGATACAATTTTATCGTAAACGTAAGGTAGGAGAATAATTTTCATTTAATACCCCTGTTGTCGAGGTAATACCGTATAGAAAACCACCTAATCCCCTTTTAGTGAGGCAATACCATACAGGAAGCCACCTGAGCCTACTTAGCGAGGCAATATCTTAAAGAGAACCAAACCATAGGAAATTAAAATTCTTCATAATCATTTAATTAGCTTATGTTATAACTTAAATTACCTTAACATTATAGGAATGAATACACCCAGAGGTTGTATCGTTTAATATTACTTACATTTGACTAAACCTACTTATTATATATATATTATTTACTTAAGATCATCTAATATTTAAAAACCGACGAGACGTGCGTCCGTAACAAATATGTTCTAAATGTATATTTAGAACAGCACAACGTTATTGATAGACTATTGCCTGATGACTCGAAAATATAAACACTAATATATATTTTTTTATTTATTGTGCAAGTTTCATATGTAATTAAAATTAAATACAAAAGCGAATTTAATTAGTATAAAGTGGAAGTAATGCTGTTCATACTAGATGACTTGCATGAAACAAATGCCTTACAAGTTAAACACGGCTGTACAAGGGGTCTAATCCTCTAATTTTAAATTTTATCTCTTTCCATGTCAAATTAAAAGAGATAAATTTTAAAATTAGAGGATTATTTAAAATTAGGATATATTCACGAACTTTATGCTACAACAAATTTCAAATGAAAGAGTTCGACGGGTTTGACTAAATTTTTGCTATGTTTCTTGATCGGTAAAATCATAATTCTTTTCAAAAGCAATCGCTTTTGGAAAGAATTATGATTTTAACGACTTTAACAATTACATAATTCCATTAGTCTCTATAACTTTGAAAAGCATTGCTATAGGTTTCAAACGAATCAATTAGCCCACCCGTCTTTAGAACCATTTTCGAATGTTTTTTTTTTTAGGTTGCCAATGGAAATTGCGTCAATGACGCCATCGAAGTTGAAGTTTCCCGAATGTCGTATACCAATCAGTCCGTTAGGTGATTTCTTCCTCGAACGCTTGAGCAGAGTTGACAGCAACGGTTGGCAGCCCTTGCTCGGCCTCATGCACCATTTCGCTGAAATCTTCGAGTATTATGACTATGTCTCACTGGGAGCCAAGATATCTAAATACGTGGATATTGTAAGTAGGTTTTTTGATAATTTATTTTACTACAAATAAATAGTATTGATAAATTGAAAATTGTGAAAAAAGTGGCCAAATCCTGTTTGCTTTAATCTATATTTTAAGCACAGTAGTTTGGTAGATGAAAGAAGAGGTGGTAAGGGTTGGCGTACAGGTTGTAAAACAATTTTACGCTTTTGGTAGAATATAGTAGATGTCGGGATTTCCATATTATTATTTGATCTTCGAGCTTACACATGCATACCAAATTTTAAGAACATTCGACCACAGAATACTAAACGAATGCCAAATAATATTGAAATATACCTCGACATGAGCCAGGAAAACAGCTGGTGAGCTTCAACGGCTGGACGGATTTTGACCAGACATAGCGTATAACCGGCGTGATTAAATTATATTCGAATAAAAAACCGCACTGAAATCAGTCCATCCGTTCGGGAGTTACGATGCCATTGACAGACACACACACATTACTGTATACAGGGGTTAAACTTATGATACCCATCTTTTTCGTTTCTCGTCAGGGGTTAAAAATAGGTGATTAATACGAAAAAGAAAAAAAATTGAAAATCCGTTAGATACACTCCAACATTACCACGTATATTTTCAAATTCAAATTCATTTATTCGGCGCATGCACATAGGACACTTAAATATAATAATTAATCAAAATAAAATAATTAACAATAGAATATTCAACATAAGTCTACATTAAAATATTAGAAAATATTGTGTCCCACGACTGCACCAAACATGTATCTAGCTCGGCATTTGTCGGTCTGTTTACTTTTCAGAAACAGACCGACGCCGATTTTCAGCTAGACCCTATGTATTCACCACACAGCCGCAGGGATGCGAGATATATATTACGAAGTAAAATTGTCAATGAATATTACATAATAGTTATTTAAGATACGAGTGCGGAAAGTAAGGTTTTACGAACAAGGGTCAAATTGAAAACACGAGCGTAGCGAGGATTTTCATTGGCACGAATTCGAAAAACCTTTTACGCTCAAGTTTCTTACAACATTTTTCAATGTTTTTTGCGAGGAAATAAAACAAATATATAGGTTAATAAAACTAACTATGTATCAAAGGTAAAAATTATTTGTTAAAATTAAACGTGATATTTGAACATGTTTTCGTGTCATACATTTTTATTTGAAAATATTCGTTCTAGGCTTCTTGAAATACTTTTGCCTCTAAAGTTTGACATATTTTCATCAATTTTTTTTAAATATCTTTGGTGCTCGGCCAAAAAATATTTAAAAAATCCTTTTAAGCACGTGTGCAGTAAAGGATTTCAGTACATTTTTATTTAATACGTGTTTAAAGACTCACTTTCGGTGTTTACAATGGATTAAAAAAATTGCGCTTTATGAGCAACTGCATTGAAAATAAATATTTGGTCTGGTTGTATTCAGAAGTCGCACTCGTGGGAGGGTCTAGTGGCGGCCGGGTGGTGGTGCGGGGCGGGGGGCCACGGGGCGTGCGCCGTCCGCTGCCTGAGCGCCGCGCACGCAGTCGCACCGAAGGAACACGCGTCCGAATCTTTGCGCGTTCTAGCCACGCTACTACATCTGTGAGTCGACATTATTGTCCGTTTTCTTACATAAGGTGTAATATTATTATATGTCAGGACTTCGTGGGGTGGATTAGTTTAGTATACTGAACAACTTTTTACTATGGGAGCAAATCTGCATTCACGAAAACTATATATCTGTAAACTATATATATGTTTAGTTTTGTGTTGAGTATCGTAACGGTCCAAGAAAATAATAAATCTAGAAGTGAAAGCATATTTAGTTTCGTTGTTGTGTTACATTAGATTCAATGTTGTGGTTATTTTAAATTATATAACTAAGTTCAAGTATAAAAATACAGTAGTACTCTTAGCATGAAAATCATCGTGTCCAATTCGAATTCATATGAGGCACAATAGTAGATTGTTAGACAAAGGGTTAAAATCGATTATTACGAGGTAGTTTTTAGCGACGAATGATACACTCTATTTTTCATTTTGAATGCGAAAGATAAATAACTGCATAATATTTTTTTCTTAGGATAGCTGGCGATAGACACAAAATAATAAATTAAAAAAATATTTGTCCTAGAAGACACAATGCTATTTTAACTTTTGTTGAGTACGTTATGTCGAACTTTTTGAGCGTGAGAAGTTAAAATTGTACAGCAATTACCTACGTAGGTGTTTAAGATGTGAATTAAGATTTCTATACAAATTCTTGGCATGTGTGCTCAATATGTGTGTGCCATATTTACTATTGGGATATTTTTTTAGGCCAAGAGAAATAATTTATAGCATATACCAAACATAATATCTATTGTTATTTACATTTCACAGTTGATTAAACTGGGTATACTGTTAATTATATTAATTTAAGATAAAATTATTAATTCCTTCGTGTTTCCATTTTTTTCTTAGGCAAACTAAACACGACGATGCCAAAGATATCGCATACCTCTCGTTCTATGCCGCGCCGAAGAATAAGATAGATGCATTCTTAGTTGGAGTTTCACATTCTTATATGGTATGGTATTTGTTAGCTCAAACAGTAAGATACTAGCATTTATCTTAATTTACTTATTATAGAGCGAGTAACCACACCTGCTTATCGCTTGATAATAATGTTAAGGTCGGTGTAAATCTGACGGAAGATCCGTCAATCGTTTCACGGAAGTATGCGTTACTCGACCGATCTTCCGCTTAATGGGCAAGGTCAAACATTTGACTTTTCGTAACCGACGAGATACGACCCATCTTTTGTTAGATATGCACCGAATATAATAATGCGTTTTATGTGATAAGTCTAATTCCCGTCTTCACTAAACTCAGGAGTTACCCGTATCTGACACCCAAATTATATAGGCATTCTCTAATGTGAAAAATGCGTTTACTAGGAGCCACCTAACGAGGCACGTAATCAACAACATATAGGAATTATAAAACAAAAATTATCAGATTGATTTTGAGCCTTAATGAGCTGTAAGTAAGACTAATATGACATGTAATAACATTTGCGGTAACTTGATGTCAATACAAACAGTTGCCTGTGCCGTTAACAAGTAGTTTGTAAGCCGAAAAGTTATGCTATTAGTTTGTAAATCCACGGTGGGCGATCTTGTACTGAAAAGAACAGTCAAAAACCTAGCATGGCCTTTTTCACCGTTTTGTTTCAATACCATCAAAATTAGAGTGCATACAGTGCCACAGGTGACTGCGTAATTAGAATCCTTTAGTTGTGCATTGTGTATCATTTTGCATTTGTAGTTTATTTTTGTTATGGACCTACACATATTGTTTATTAATGTTGTAACAAACAACTACTTATAGCAATATTTTTCTGTTTTAGTCTCAGTACGAACAAGCAGTTTGGATGTTTCGTTTCGCTCTGACGTTCGATGCGGACTTCATGCCGGCCAAAGCTTGCCTTCATGCTACCATGTGCATTATGCTCTTTGGCAGCAAAGAAAAAAATAAACAAGAATAAATCATTATGTAATAAAATAAACTACCGTAGTTGATACCTTAGACCATTTTGAATTATATATGGAGACAATAAGATCATTTTATCACAGAGAGCTGGAATTAGTACACCTTAAGGTTAAGCTTATTTCTTGTCTATTTTTGTTTCTTTAATAGGTAGTTTATTTTATAAAGGAAGTGGAGTTAATTTTACTCCATTTCGCATACAAGATTTTTAAATTTGTCTATTTTGAATCTATTTAAAGATCTATAAGAGTACTTTCGTATTTGATTAATACTGTTACATTATGCTATAAGGTTGTTAATTTTTTCAAATACAACGAAACGTTACTGTTTTACGATTTAAGGTTACAAGTATATAATTAATTGCTAGCCTATCTTGAATAGAATTTTAAAGTAAATGGATGTTGACTTTTAAAATATGTTTTATAGTTTCGTAAAAATACCGTGAAGTAAGTAAATTACCACTATATGAAGTTTTACTGAATAGTATTATTTCGGTTTCTAGATTAGATTCTGACATTTATTAACACATTTGACATGGTAGTGATGATATACATAGGTATATCAGTAAATGTATAAAAAAATCTGAGACTGTAAATGTATAATTACAGTCTCAGAAAGCACATTCAGAGTTAATAATTTGCAACATAATATATAAACATTTTTATTTTATTTCAAAAACAGTAGCGATTTCGTAAGCAAAACAATGTAAAATAATCACATTCAATGTTTCTATGGTCCTATTAGTGTAACCGTTATAACCCATTAATACTCACGGGTCATTCAATACTAACTACTTATATTATGACAGTACTTTACGATTTGTGTACTGATTAAAAAGTTAAATGTAGTTTAAATATGTTCGATTTTTTCTTTTTATTTGCAGCTTTCAGAACAGTAAAATATATTTCATTAAATTAAAAAAGACACTGACACTGAATATGAGTTGAATGCACACAATTTAATACCTAAATGTCATGTCAGTTAAGAACAAAACATATGGTAGACAGTAGCGCCACAGATGTTATGATATTTATATAGAACGTTTTTATTTTTATTATTTTTAAATACGATTTGATTTTTACAACACAAATTTAGGATACGAATACATTTCGTAAACTTTCATCAATATGACCAAAGCATATAAGAACAATTCCTTTGTTACAATAATTATAGCTAAAGCCATGCGATTTTGTATTGTATCAGTTCGACTCACTCGAGTAACATACATAGACATACTTTATAGTGTGCTATGATAAAGATAATTTATGGTTAATTAATTAAATAATCAACTATGAACGTATCGTATCATATACTATTTTACATATTTTCCCATTTAATTCATTATGCATTTAATCAGTACATACTATCGTTAGTTAATGATTAATAGGTGTCTTCAATGTTCACTATATAGTCAATATGCAAGTATGTCTTAAAATTCACTAAACAGTTTTTCTATGATGCTTGTAAAATCTCTGTAGATGTAAATGTATGACGTGATTATGGTTCCTTTTGAAAGATGTTTATTGATATCGCGAGGCTGGTATGCGAACCAATCTCGACAAGCTTCATAGTGTGGAGATTGCCTCGTGAATCCATTTGAATATGGGGGTCGGGTCCGGATCTTGGATCTCAGGGGAGGGGGGGGGGGGCACTTGTCCCGGGTGCCGATGTCAGGGGGCATAATACGTCATAAGTCTATGAATTTTTATCGTATGTTTTTGAGTTTTGTATGTTGTTTAAAGTCCCTAAATTCAATAAAATGTTGCAGAAATACGGAATAATAAATTACACGGGGCGGGGGTGGAGTTGGGGCTCGCTACGTCACAACTATGTAGAAAATGTACAAAGATGTCATGTCATGCGATGCGGACAGACAAACAAAACTTTGTCATCATCCCCATTGTATTTTGTAGTCTATTACCGTATTCATCTTTGTTTTTGTATAACGTAGTGTTTTATACGTAACTGTGATTTTATTGTATTTTTAATTCCATTCTTGTTTTTTTTTACTTACACTCGATAGAGAAGGTATAAATAACTAAAGCGTCTGGTTCCATTGTCGACGTATAATGTCTCGGAAACAGTGTTGTAAACTCGTTTTGAGGGTAGTTTCAAATTAACCTCAGCGCGAGTTTGCTTTCCGTGCAGCCTTGCGATGTTGATACACGCCTCAATATTTTTGCGTTATTACAAAGTTTTTATATGCTTAATTTTTTTATATAATTACGTTAAAAATGAATTATTAAGCAACAGGTTCAGTGTATTATATAAAAATGCGTGAAAGAGAAATTTCATTTCAATATAATATTGTGATTAAGTAAACAGTAAATAAGACAAGATGGTAAGTAAAATGCTCAAACTTATGATTGTTTTGTTGTACAATAAAAAGGAATATAGTTTATTTCCAATAATTATATAAAAGTAAACAGGAAATTTCGTATTTTCCTAATATAAGTATTGGCTCAGTAGTTTTTATATTTACTTGATTCCGCCTAGTTTAGAAAGCTCATTGAATGGTCTCAAAGTACCGAACAATTTTTCAGATATTCTATTTAATTAAATATATTCACAGGAAGAGATGATTTGTGATATATGCTATCAAAGATTTCAATGTCTCACTCTGACATGCATTACTGTGATTTTCAATTGATATTTTTTTTGTAATGTTAAATAAAGGTACAATGTTGATAAGATGTAAAAAACTGACTTATACATTTTTTTTGTTTGAGTGGGTATGTTTACAAAGCAGACCTGTTGCATATTGTTTTATTATTTTTGATACGTTTGCTGCTATATTTTGTGCCTAATTTAGGTGCTTAAGACTGATTGAAATTATTACCCTTGTTTAGCGTAAGATGTAATTACAATTTGGAATTATACACCTTCGCAAACATTCAGTGTTTTCTTTCTTTACGAACCCGACATTATTATTATTATTAAAAAGAGTCGATACGCATCATGTATCAATCATATTAAAGTTAAATTGCGTCTAGAGAATATTTTTTCCTAGGCTCTGGCTGTTTGAAAATGTTTTAAAATAGATATCTGGATAACATATATAAAATCGAGCATCAGACTATTAGTACGTTTTTTGGAAAATTTTAATAGTAATACTAATAGAAATTGTTTATTTGCTATTAAATGAGGTTAAAGCACATAATATTCCGTATTTAATAAAGCTCAATAAAGCAAATCTCAAGTAGTTACGCTGAAGGAATGTGTCGGAGAATAGTGACATTGTATGACTGATGATTGATTTCCAATACTACGACAATATTCTCTAACATATACCTAAAAAATATTCATCACATTACAAATTTATTACAAATCGGCCTTCGGGTCGTTTCATCAAATAGGCGTACGCAAAATTTGTCATAAACATTTTGTCAATAAGAAAATAAGTAATGGCGGCTCTGGCTTATTGGTCTAATATCGCAGATAAGATAAAGCCGTAATATAGTTACATCCCTAGGGATATAATTATATACTGATACAGGTATAATATTTTGTAATAACTGCATACCTACTATATTAATATAATTATAATCTTTTAAGTCTATTGAAATAAATGTAGGAGTGTATCAGATTTATGATAAAGACAGGATTTTGAACAAGATCTGGAGGATGATAAAATGACATTGGAGGATATTATACTTTTTGAGATTATGAACATTGGTGTGACTACCTAACTCTAGAGTTACCATATACCATACTATAACTTTAGAGTTATGGTTAGCCATAGGATACGATAGCGAATATTATGATGATATTTTGTTTCAGTTAACTACGTCTTTAGGTGGATAAATTTGGGATAAATTACTATGTTAGAAATAGCGCTATAAAACTGTTAAGATGTCGTATCCTATGACTAGAGTTAGCTTGTCGCTCTTCTGAACTTAACTTCCTCTATGATTTGCTAGTGTAGGTCACGTAGGTTAGATTTTTTATTTGTAGATTACAGGATCACAACGCTAATGTATAAACAAGTTATTTCAGCGGATTATGAGATTATTTTATTTACGTAAGAAAGTAACATCGGGTACCGGTTTTAACATTTATTTTATCATAAATCTAAACAAATTTTGAATAAGATAAGTATATTATTAAAAAATATATCAGTGCTCAGGCTGGGATTTACGATTTTTTTGACCGAGGCAAAAACTTGATACTGCGCCCATACAACCTCTTCCTAGCTCTGTGAGGTAGTTTTTTGTATGACCATATTTTTGCAGTGTGTTATTTTCCTTCTGTTTCATCTACGATTTTTGAAACGACAAGCAACAAAAAGTGAAGCATTCTTTTCGAGAATAATGAAAGTGATTAATTCCAAATAACAAAAATAATAAGATTTAATAATTATTATTTTTTATTTTTTTATTTTTATTAATTAATTTTTTTATTTTTATTTTATGTAATTATTATTCAATGATTAGAATGTGGTTATGGAATACTATAATAGAAAGATGATACTGAAAAAATAAACTTACAAGAACCCCTGAAAAGAGTATACTGAGACTCTGGTTTTGGTTTAAGTTTCCATAACGATGGAGAGAGTTGATACATTTCCAATTTTCATTAAGATTGACTTAGCCACTTAAATTACCTTATTATTAAAATTTTTATATAATAATGATGCAAAAACGACTTTTGGAGTTTTTGCGAGGTGGACTCGCGCACGAATGGTTCCGTACCAATATCCATTAAAAAGATTGAAAAAGATACTGTGATCTTAATATGGGATTCGAAATCAAATGTTCCAGTTAATTACTTAGCTTTTAGGCTAGGCTTTTGGACCAAAAGTTTTGAATGATCAAAAGTTTAATAAAAACTTAGTAAACTTAAAGTAATATTTGCCTCGAAACCTGTATTCCATGTACTCCAGTACTCGAGTACCTGCTAGTTGTTCGAGTCAGTACCTAGAAAAATTATTATCACTATTTACTACTACGGCAGTAGTAGAAACAATAATTTTCCTAGGTACACTTGCACTATCTTTGATATGTCAAAGGTAGTGCAAGTTTGTCACACTGAAACTAGAAAGTTTGATTTAAACTTGCTGCAAGTTGCTGCAGTTGTCATGGCAAACTTGAAGCATCAAACTTGTTGCAAGTCAGAAACAAGTTTAAATTGCTATCTGGGAACGGAGGAAGGAGAAACGCTCACGCAGATAGGAAGGTTAGAAAGGATAAAAGTTTTGAAGGCATTTAAATGTGAAATGAGAAAAAGGTCTTAAGATTAACCTCAGATATATTGGCAGTGCATGCTAGATTTGAATCTATTGTAATACCAAGATTTTTTACGGTATTTGATAACTGGATGTGAGTCCCATCTTAAAGCACTGGTGGTAAAGATAATGTAGAAACATAATAATTATTAAACCTGCTGAGATTTACCTTACCAGATTAAGCATGAGGCCTAACGATTTCGCCCAAATACTATTACGTTCCAAATCGTTATTAATAGCTGCCAGTGAAGAGTTACAGTATCCTATTTTAAAGTGTCGATAAAGCTGCAAGTCGTCTGCATAGAGGTGGAAGATATAACTCTAGTAACCGAGTCAATGAAATTGGAAAATATGAGAGGTGAGAGAAAACTACCCCGGGGAATACCAACACGGAAGTCACACCAATCAGAAGATTTATTATCAAGACGTACACGTTGCGTACGTCCCCGAAGGAAACCATAAGAGAACAGAAGGAGACATATTGCAAGAACGAAGAATAGCGTGAAGAATATCAAAATTGACAAAATTAAAAGCACTGCTGAAGTATAGAAGAATTATAACTGTAAGAGCTTTATTCTCATAGTCCAACGAATATCATCAGTAATGGTTATTAAGGCCGTTACAGTACTGTGACCAGGGCGGAAACCAGATTGGTACATATTCAAATGGGAATTAGAAAAAAGAAAAGTTGATAATTGCTTACGAACAATATGCACAAGAAGTTAAGAGATAAGGGAAAGAGTAGAAATAGGTCGAAAGTGGGATGGGACTGAAGGATTAGATAACTTAAGCAGTCCCAAATTTTGGGAAAAGAACCAGATTCAAGTGAGAAGTTAAATATGCGAACAAGTATGGGAAGGAGAAAAGATAAAATAGGGATAAACATTCTTACGCGTAGGTTGTCCTAGCCAGCAGCCTCAGAATAATCGCTTGAATGGCATTTTTAACGTCAGTTTCGGATATATGGAAAAGAAAAAGATGTGCAGTCTGGCCTCGGAACCAGTGAAAGTTCTGCAAGGGTAGAGACCTTTACGACACCATCGATAGTAAAAGGAGGAAGAGAGAATTGTCTGTTAAGAACGTTTAAATCAACATTACTAGACACAGTATCAGTAGACTTTCCCACTCCTACAGGCGCAAAAACCGCCAGGCATCAGTAGGATTGCGATCAGCAAGAGAGCTGTGAAAGAAGCGTCTTTTAGCATTCCTACACATACAACTAAAGTAATTTCGAAGAATCTTAAAATGAATAAGATTGCGGTTCCCTTTGCCATCCCTTTTACCATAGTCTCTCTTATTTCAGAACTTATCCATGATGCTGGATTATGCTTAACTTTAACTCGACGAACGGGAACATGATCATCATACAATCCAATTATCTTTAAATTGAACTGGGAAACCATATCATCGATATTAGCAGCATCAGTGACTGACGACCAATCCAAATCACAAGCGTTCACTCTTAAGACCCCGAAATCAAAGCTCTTATAGCTACGGTGTGTAATATACAGGGGTTTTCGTTTTGAGTTACGTAATCGATATGATAGGTAGATAAGATCGTGATAGGAGAAGCTTGCAGAAACCTGACCTGTATTGTTACTTTGTCAGGCGATGCAACTATCAACTATCATTATCAACTATCATTTGTTCAAGTAGCGAAGATATACAAAAGGGGAAGTGGTGAGTAGGTTACAGAGGAAGAATATGTTAATTGTAAGAGGTCACACCAGAGCTCTAGTCTCAATGGTAGGGTATGATTTAATAAAAATCTGGTATGTTATGGGAGCTCCATAACTGTAACCGACACTATCAATTGAATGTTCTAAATAATAATTTCTACGTTGTAAAAACTGTCTTTTTAGGAGGCAAAATAATTTCACGTAATTTCTCGAATCTAAATCCTCCTAGTTCCCTGTTCAGAGTATGCAAACGATTAATGTACTTCTAATTAAATAAATATGTTATATGTTAGAAACTTTCAGTAGCAGCTACGCCATTTCTACGGTGTAGCTGCGTTTGTTTTTGTGCTCTTTAGAACTGCTAGATGTAGTTAGCATGCTAATAAAAATATATTGTTTGATAGAGTTAATATGCTGTTTAAATATGAATTCTTTGATTTTTATTTTCTGAAGTTTGTAGATATAAATGAACATATTGTGTGTGTGATATTTCTTTTTTCAAATATGATCCACCAAAAACTAGGAATGGAAATTGAGTAACTATCGTTAATTTTATTTTTATGTCTACCCGATAGGTTTTTTCGTTATTCCAGCCATAGCGGTACATCGTACCACACTGTTTATTTTCGTAGATTCCCGCATCCACATTTCTTGTCTCTGATCTTTAAGATCATTTCCATTTATTATTCGCTTTTCATAATTTCAAATTTTTAGAAACACGTCATTCAAATCCTTGAACGTCAGTTCGTAAAAAAATTCTTCCGGCGAGAACACGAATCAATGTTAATTCAGTATCAATATTTTTTAAAGTAATAAGTAAACGTAAAATCTACTTGAAACTTCTTACTTACTAAGGGAAACCCAGATACGGGTATTATAGTGTTTTATACATATGTGTTCTAATTATCGTAAATCTCTAGGGGTATGTAATTAAGTGTTTTATAAATATGTTTTCTAAATTCCGGAAATCTCTTATCGAACTGTTTTTTCTTTTTAACG